GCTGGAGGTTGCAACTGAGGTAGTCCTCCCACCAAGCTTTTCTGCTGTAAAGTCTTTAGGCCTTTGAAATTCAATTGTCTATATCTAAAATGCCACAACCAAGTATCATCTTGGATAGTTGATTTCAGACAGACTTGCTTGGTCAATGCAGCTTGTGTTTGTAATGGAAGCATTCTATTATAAGCCATTTCAACATGCATAATTTAACCTTTGATGAATTTGGTAGCAATTCTTTTGAATTAGAATGGCGAACCCCTACTCTTGAAGCTGACCAAGGCTGATTAGATTACTTCTAAATTTAGGCACATAGAACACACCTGATATGATTTGTACAACACCATTGACTTTAATTTTGACATCTCCTTTTCCTTGTACTTTTAAGCTTGAGTCATTACCAAGCTTTACATTCTCCCTGAACTTCTCATCAAGTTTGGTGAACATCTTCTTGGTTCCACTCATGTGATTGCTACAGCCTGAATCCAAATACCATGTGTTGTTGATTTGTTTTCCCTTGACTTCCACATATGCCATCAGCAACAACTCTTCTTTAGTTTCAGCTACAATGGCTTTTGTTTCATTCCCCTTCTTGGGACACTCCTATTGAAAGTGTCCTATTTCATGGCAGTAGTAACACTCCACATTTGATTTATCAAATGATCATTGGCGTCCTCTTCCACGTCCTCGAAAGCCTCCTTGACCTCTTCCTATTCGTCTCCTCGGAGAGTGATTCTCTTGGCTCACCTACAATGCTTGTTCTTTCATTGCATAGCTATTCATCCATTGTTCATGTACCAGAAGACTGCTTTGTAGTTCATCAATAGAGAGATTATCAAGATCTTTTGATTCTTCAATCGAACACACCACATAGTCAAACTTTGGTGTGATTGATCTCAAAATCTTTTTTATAACAACTACATCTTCCAGCTTCTCTCCATTGATCCTCCTCTTGTTAGCCATGTTAGAGTCCTTCCAAATACTCATCAACTGACTCTTCAACCTTCATATTGAGCATCTCAAACTCTTTGCGAAGAGCTTGAAGTTGGGCACGCTTGACTTTCGCCGTGCCTTGATATTTCTTCTTCATTGAATTCCATATATCCTTCGCTGTATCTTTCTTCAAGATGGTCTCCAATATAGCTCTATCAATGGCCTAAAAGAGAGTTCTTGGTCTTCAAATATTTGAGCTTCTGATCCTCTAGGGCTTTCAATTGAGCTTCTGTCAACTCTGCACTCTCTGCATACTGCGTGATTCCATTCTCCACTAGGCCCCAATATTCCTTGGACGTCAAGAAGTTTTCCATCAACATGCTCCGGCGGTCATAATGGCCATCGAAGCGTGGAATCGCTGGTTGCACGAAGCTACTTCCTTCTCCTGCCATTAATTCTTGCTGCTTCAAGCTTCCTTATTCTCTCTCTACCCCAGTTGGGGCTCTAATACCAATTATTGGTATTAAACTAAGTTTTGCTTGAGAATATGATTGAGAAGAATAAGTTTTGTCACAGTGTTTATTCAAGATAAAAGAACTAGCCTATATAGCCTTTACATGAACTGAAACCAACATAAAAAGCTGAAGCATTATCCCACAAATAACAAGTCCTAATCTCATGGGATACTGGCTAGAGAAACAATCAAAGATAAACTTCTACAACTACATTCCTACAACTTAAGGATTATTCAAACAACTCAAAAATAAACAACTAATAATAATATCTTTACAATTTTCTGCACCTGGGGTGACAGTACAAGATGGTGCATTTGGATACACAAATCTCTTTGCTGCAGCTGTGGGTGCTCTCTACTTTGCTCTTGAGAAATCCAGCGTTTCCACTGTGGAAGTCGTTGTATCGGAGACCGGTTGGCCATCCCAAGGTGAGGAAGGAGCCATAGTTGAAAATGCAAGCACTTACTATTAGCATTTTATTGACAGTGTGAACAGAGCCTGGAAAACCTGTAGAAACTTATTTGTTTGCCATGTTTGATGAAAAGCAAAAGGGCCCTGGAGAAACTGAGCGACAATTTGGTTTCTTCTCTCCTGATAAACAACCCAAGTACCAAATTAGTTTCAATGGAAGAGCAAAGTTTTATCTGTCAAAAGAAAAAAGAAGAGGAAAGTTTTTTTCAATACGTCTTCTAGTATTAAGAACAGTAATTTAGTGTTTTGGTTAATTCTCTTCTCTTCTTTGTTGTTTCTATATGTTTAGATTAAATTTGTTGACCCAATTGTTGTCCTACTATTATTCTTGCATAAATGAGAATAACAATTATTAAATTACATGGGCGCACACAAGTGAAGCTCAAAAACATATGGAACTTGTAGTTTACTTTTAGCACAAAGTATATTGATAGAAGTTGATTAATACATGGGTAATGCTAGGCATATACCACATTTTTATACCACATTGTGTACCACATCTTTAATAGAGGTGAAGCCTACTCTGTTAGAGAGGTAGCACAGAATGTGGTATGCCTAGCATTTTCCTTAATATATACATTATTACTTGCTAGAGAAATTAACTACTTATATAGCAATCGTGGTTGTAATAAAGAGGAAATTAATATTTAGCTTTTCTATTCAGAGGAAATTTTTATTTAGTTAAGTAAAACTAAAAAGTTCGATGAGAATTTCCCCTCGAACGAATCATGCAGAGCGTCTAAAGAAGGTGAGGGACCTCAAGCAAAATAGTGTTATCCTCATTTCACAGAAATCTTTCTCCTAAAAAAAGTGAGGGACCTCAAGTGATGCAAATCGACGAAACTTGGCAAGTCATTTATTAATTTTATATTTTAGCAATTATTCTACATGCAATTTGAACTCATGAACAATATGGAAATTGTCATTGACCAAATTGGTGCTACTTGACCCAATTGTCATTGAAAAAGTCAAATATTTATTTATTTATAAAATAAATAAAGTACTATATAATATAATTATGTTTAAAACAATTTTGGAGGACATTGGCCGACATTGGTATTATCAGAATTTTTGTTTTTTGTTTTTAATAATGAGAAAGATAGGCGTGTTAAAATAAGGTTTCAATGTTCTATATTTCAGCATTAACATGCCAAATACATAAATATCCCTATTGATTCTAAAGCCTGTTAGCATGATATAAACCATTATTATTATTTATATATAATACGTTAATGAAATACAAATTAGTTTTTATCAGAAGATATTCTGTCTTTTGTAATCCATGGCATGATTACTTCATTCATCACCCCACATTTGCATGATATATAATTTAATCTAAAGCACTTTGGCTCTATATACAAGTAATTTGTTAGTGAAAGAAGGCAATACAAAGTTACCAATCTATTCCTTAGCTTGTTATACCAATCATTTTCATCATGGCTCCATTTTGTGAGATTATAGCTAACAAACCATATGTGGTTTCTGCGTTCCTACTTCTTGGGCTTTTGACATTAAGCTCCACAACAACAGGTACATCCCTACATGTCTCAGTGTATGTTTATATTTAAGGACTTCCGAGAGAAAAAAGCAAAAGGTTCTAAATGTTAAGAAAAACATTTTGCATAACATTTAGGCCCGTTTAGGACTACTTCTGTAAGAAGCAGTTATGCTCCTAAGCGTTGTTGTTAGAAGTTCTTTCGGAAGCGTTTATCCTTGGAAATCACTTTTGATTTTTCCAGAAATAGTCTCAAACGATCCTTTGGTAGAAGTAGACCAAATAGTTTTCTTAGGCTTAAAACGTTTTTATGTTCTACTTATGCGAGAAACATTCACAGGCTGACATGATGTAGTTCATATTTGGTTTTGATTGAATTTGAGATAGGTGCAGAGTCAATAGGAGTTTGTTATGGTCGGGTTGCCGACAACCTGCCGCCTGATCCAGAAGTCATAAGTCTCTACCAAGCAAATGGTATAAGAAGAATGCGAATTTTCGATCCAAATCCTCCAACTCTCCAAGCCCTGAGAGGATCCAACATCGAACTCATCGTCGGCGTTCGAAACCAAGACATCCAGTCCCTTGGAAATGACGTTGCTGCTGCCACTGCTTGGGTTCAAAACAATGTCCTAAACTACTTCCCTGATGTCAAGTTTAGGTACATTGCAGTGGGAAATGAGATCAAGCCCCAAGACGCAGAAGCAATATATGTTCTAGCAGCCATGAAAAACATTAAAACCGCAATTGCATCTGCCAATTTGCAGGACCAAATCAAAGTTTCAACAGCCATAGACATGTCTCTGTTGGGCAGTTCTTATCCACCGTCAACAGGCTCATTTAGTGATGCTGCGAGTTCATACATAAACCCTATCATTGCCTTCCTTGCAAGTAATGGCTCTCCATTCCTTGCCAATGTGTACCCTTATTTCAGCTACATCGGTGACACCAAAGACATCAGCCTTGGCTATGCCCTATTTGCTGCACCTGGGGTGACAGTACAAGATGGTGCATTTGGGTACACAAATCTCTTTGCTGCAGCTGTGGATGCCCTCTACTCTGCTCTTGAGAAAGCCGGCGGTTCGAGTGTGGAGATCGTTGTATCGGAGACCGGTTGGCCATCGCAAGGCGGGGAAGGAGCCACAGTTGAAAATGCAAGCACTTACTACAAGAATTTGATTGACAGTGTGAAGGGAGGGACTCCCAAGAGGCGTGGAAAACCTGTAGAAACCTACTTGTTTGCCATGTTTGATGAAAACCAGAAGGGTCCTGCAGAAATTGAGCGGCACTTTGGTCTCTTCTCTCCTGATAAACAACCCAAGTACCAAATTAGGTTCAATGAGAAGAACAAAGCTTTAGCCAATAGGTGTACTCGTATTAAGAGCAGTCATTTATTGTATTGGTCAATTCTCTTCTCTTCTCTTCTCTTCTTTAATAAATCACATGGGCACAAGTGAAGCTCAAATTCATGCGGAACTGGTAGTTTACTTTTTATATAGCACGAAGTATATTGATAGAAGTTGATTCATACATTACAGAATTAACCACTGATTAACTTAATTGCAATTAAAACATTGACAAAGAGGGTTGAAAATGAATCAATCCTTGTTCACTGGTTGGAGTCCCTCGATCTCTCAGCCAACAATGCATTGTACTCCTCTCTCATGCGGTTATATGCCTCAACCAGGTGATTGAAAGCTTCCATTTTCTCCTTTGCACCTGACTTCTTCTTCATCTCCTCCAAATGAAGCTTGGTTAATTCAATTTGTTTCTTCAGCTCTTGAATCCGTGCTTCTTTCTTCTCAAGTTCGTTCTGCCGGTTTCGTAACTCATTTGGATCTGTTATAAGTTACCAAAGCAGATCCAGAAGTAATGAGTCAATTGTATCCTAGTGTAAGACAAAGGTTTGTCTTTCTGCGATACATCCAATGCATTTTAGTCATCGAATTAAAAGATTGAAAATTTAAAAATTCAAATAGTAATATCAACCGTTGATAAAATAATACTCAAACATTGAAAGTAACACAAAATTACATGAGAAAGGGTAACTATTTGTGGATTGTTTTCCTGTGGTTTCAATGACATAAGTCATGTGCAACAAAACAAAAAATCAATAGTGAAACATTCAAAATACCAAAAAATGCCCTTAGTTAATGCAAATATTAAGAATTGAAATTATTAATTAAATGAGGATAATATGGTAAATTCATATTTTTTATATTAAAAATAATTATAATTAAAAACAAAATCATATAATGGATCCTATATTTATGAAACACAATTACCCATTATTTTTTTATATTTTAAAATAAATTTAAAAACATAACAAAAAACCAATTGGCACACTATATAAAGTTATTATATTGGCACTTGGTTTTCTGCATTTATATTTTTATTATATTGGTACTTAGTTTATAATTATAAAGTTCTTTCAACTTCAAAATAGAACATATTGAAAAGAGAGAGAGAGAGAGAGAGAGAGAGAGAGAGAGAGCCATGGGAAAGGAGATACCGTGGGCGGGAAGGAAGATATTTTCGACGTTGTTTGAGCTGCTACCTTCCATTGCTTCACAGAATTCCAACAAGAAAAGAAACATAAACTGTTGAGTTCAAACTTGAAAGCCTATTGTGCTACACAAACATATTCGGTTTTTCCTATTAATTACTCATAAAACCATGCCAACCCAAAAATGAGCATTGTAACCACAAATAAAATAAAAACATAAGATTTTTAAGCTTACTAAAGATTAAATTTCTCGGGGTTTTTGTTTTGCAAAACAATTCCTATTAGCTGTTATCTTCAGACACAGGGCTTTTGCCCATTTAATAATGACGTAATTCGGTTGTAACTCAAATGGTTTAAAATAGTTATCCTTATATTCGGGTGGTGGTTTCAATCTTTCTACTCTAATATCAACAGTATTTTAAAATAATAAATAATAAAAAAAAGACCTAATTGGGGAATGTCCCACGTGTCAACCTTGAGGCAGCAACTGGACACGTCTACAACTCTGTTAACCGTAAGATATTGATCACTAATTACAAATTGATTCTTACCTTTTTACTTTGCTCCCCAAGCACTGCGCCCTCTCACTCTATCCAACCGCTCTCACTGTATTTCTCTGTGGTGGCCCCTTCACTGCGAAGAAGAGAGTAAAATATATTTTGACCCATGAAAAATGAAACTGGCCCCAAATTTTATACATCAGAGAAAAGTCACGGGGATCTTCCTATGGTGGAAACCAAAAACCCATGATTTGGAGCATCTTCCTCTGCTGGAAACCAAATCAGGGCCGTACATTTTGGAACATAGATATGTTGGTCCATGGGTATGAAACCTGCTCTCCTCCTCACATCCCTGCTGTTACATATATAATTATTGTACCACCATCCAGGAATCAGAATATCTCTGCACGTTTGCCACAGACAAGCATGCGTTTCCAACTTTCAACCTATTACCATGACCTCATTTTTCTTGTGTTTTGTCCTCCAAAACAAAAACTCTGGAAAGTTGAAATCCAATCAAATTAATTCAGGGCTTGGGGCTACTGGCATATAGACTTCATTTTGAGAAGAAGAAAAAAAAGGGGTCAAAGGCCCTTTTCCGAAGATGATACATATGCCAATTTGCCCTCATGTTCAGCTATTTGGTAGGTTTGGATCGTATTGAATTTGCTGCGTTCAAATTGACTCACCATTTCAAATGGTTTGCGTAAAGGGGAAAAGTTCCTTGTACTCATACTATAATGGACCACTGAAAGTGATTCTATACTACCAAATCTCTTTAGGCAACCCCTATGAGATCTTCTCTTTGTTTTTAGTCTAAGACAAAATGCTGATATTCAGTTGATCCTAGGGCACCAAAGATGGGAGGGCCAAAAGTCTCCTTCTTTAATAGTTAGTAACCCTAGAGTTTATCTATTAATTCAAAGCTACTAGCTAGGTATCCTAGTTGCTATAATTTTAAACGTTTTTAAAGATTTGAATCGTTAGTTATAGCTACAAGAAATAGGTCATTACAATTCAAATTATTTACAGCACCTTCATGAAAAAGAAAATAAGTTTTGGATGACTATATTGATTATATCTTATCTACCATTCATATTAGTGGTAAAATAATATGGCAAGAAGTCTTGGTGTTTCTGCGGTCAAATTTGGCCTACCACGGTTAGTCATTTATGACATAATTATCTACAATGGATAAGTTTTATGGAGAACAGTTCTTGAGAGAATTATGACCATCATAAATGGTGACCTTTCGCATATATGAGCGGCATGAGTGAACCATACCATTGGTACACCGTCATATCTTGAAATGACGAGTCGCGTCATTAAAAGTCATTAATAGCATCTACAATCATGCTTCTTATTTTTTTAGGAGCTCTTAGAGGTCTCTCTATTTTAGGAGGTGGATAGAGAGTATAGTTGGAGTGGTATTTTTCCAATTCCTCCCAAAAATTTATCTAAGTAGGTGGTTTAAGGAGCCCATTGCGGATTCACTAAGACTTAAACTTAATTATCTCATGCCTCTTGGATTATAGTTAGGGCTCGTCAATGGGCCGGGCCGGGCTAGCCCGGCCCAAATTTAACGGGCTTGGGCCGGGCCGGGCCGGGCTTTAAAGAGGAGAGAGAAAATATCCGGCCGGGCCGGGCCGGGCTTTTTTAGCAAATGTAAAGCCC